TGGTGCTGTAGTAAGTTTCGCCTATTTTGTGTTTTTAACCGATAATTACCATATTTTCTATAGTAACCGACCTACTTTGCTATTATTCATATCTAGTTCAACACCTGGTATGTGACAGGAAGTATTAAGAAAAAAAAATTACCCACGTTTTTGGTTTAAGTGGGTCCTTAGTTTCTTATATTATATCTATATCTGATGCCGAGATAGAGATCTACCCAATATATGTTGGTCTCTTGTCACCTTACTACATGTATGGTAGTTTATAATAAACTTGTTAGTCGACACTGAACATAATACGGTCAGGTTCGTATGCAAGACTCTTTGATTACAATAACATCCTAACGCTTCCCGCTCCTACCCGCTTGATTTCGACTTGCTACACATTTGCATAAGTCTTAATGTCTTTCCTGCCCATTCTTATGCATCCGACCCCGTTCATATGAATGATTTCTTGAGTATAACAGATTCGACGAATGAGAGAGATTGCATGCTGTTAGCAAGTGGACAGGCTGTTTATCACATCGAGGGTCAAGTAATAGAACTTTTGGAAAAGGGATTGCCAAATACAACTACCAATCCAGATCAAGAAGCTTGGAGAGAGAGTGGGAGATTGGTGATGAAGGTTATTTTTCATTGGTATGCCTACTCGTTTCGACCATGTACCTGTTGTTTATCGGACCAAGCAAAGGTAGAAATTTGGGTTGAGTTATTTGAAGGGTGAGTTAGAGATCAGTAAACACGGCATGGAGATGCGAAATGTATAGGGATAAAGGGGGGGCAGATAAATGCGACGAATTTACCGATATTAGAACAAACAATCTCCTTTAAGATTAGATTTGGTCATTTACCCTGCAACGATTCTCCAAGTCTTGCCTCGAACTCTAGCAACTACCCTTGAGTATTACAATGGATTGAAACCAGCTGCCACCGTAATGCTGTCTAAAAGAGTTAAGAGTTCAATTGAATCTGCTTAGTTACAAGAATTGAGAACTAAGAAACTGATATTTATTTTATTTTTCATGTTGAACGTAATATTACTTTCTCAGCAGCCGACTGGGGTACCGCTTCATACCACAACTACTGAGACTGTGACTGGTGCAGGAATTGGCATCGGCATCTGGGAAGAGCACGCTGGCTATCATCCAACAGTCGGCAATACTGCAACGATTGCGAAAGGTGTAGAGGCCGGACTCAGTGGTGGTTGTGGCAGTGATAATGGAGATGATGGTGTCGGAGTCTATGGTTCAGATATGATCACTGAAGCTACGGGTTGCGTCGAAGAAATAGTTGACAATGAGCTAATGATGGTGATGGTGAATAGTGGCGAGGCGCCTGAGTGCTGTGCCGTCTGCGGCCAGTTAGAACCTCCAGACCTAGCTATCGCAGCTTCGAGTACTGGAGGTGATAACGAGGAACTCCAGGTGAACTCTTTATTTAGCCTTAACCCATAATGCATTTTGGTTTACCAAATTCCCATTATTCTGGGAATCTAATTTATATTTTAATTATTCAGGCTTGTATGGACGGTTTTTCCTCCATTTTTTCGTAGTTATTTTTTACTTTAAGTGATCTATTTGTAATATTCAACTCGGGGTATATAACTATTACCGATTGTCTGAATCGATTTTAAAATATTTGCTCTTATCTTTTTCTAAGACTATGATGCTCATCTTTGTTTCTGAGATCACTAGACAGCTTAAAGTATTACAGCTTTTGCGTAGTTTTATCACCAATATACAACTTTTCTTTTGTTCTTTCTGTTTTATCAGTCGATGCGGATAATTGTGACTAGCCGTTGTTTTCTCATTTCCCAGATAATTCTAAAATGGTTTTATTCGGTTTTCACTCATTATATCTGTCGCGTACTCTCAAAAGTCGATATTTTATCCAGCTTTCCCTCCTGCCATTTCTTATTTGCCCCAAACCTTGTTTGAGTTTCTGCATTTGGAAATA